ATACAACTCTCCATTTATGATCAATCAGATCCAAATAGAAATCTATCGTATGAAACTTCTGAAAAAATATCTTTGCCCTAACAAAAAAGATCAAACTCAGTGAGTACATGATTTTGGTCTTTACAGCTCACTTTTTTCTGCCTGAAATTTGCATACCAAAGGCTTCTCTTAAGCTAACTAAGAATTGTAGCAGGCTCTCTTGGACCTCTAACCCCCAAATCGTAACGCAGAGACTTATTATTCGTTATGAATGTTTGGCCTTAACTTACGATTGTTTCTTGATAGCCTTTTTAAAACTTAAATTAACCCATTTCTATTAGTCCATGTGCTACCCCAGGGCTCCTTCAGTTCATCTACATATCATCTCTTCTGCTTTCCTTATTTCTCTATGTCTGACTGGCTCCCCTTTTTCTTTGCCTGCCGGTCCCACCTATTCATCCTCTGCCAGGCTATTGGCCATTCAGCTTTTTATTAGACAAAGCAGTTGCCTTAGGCAGGCAAGGTGAAAGAGCAACCCACCTTCACATCAACAAATGTAGTAGAAACAAAAGCAACACATCTTTACAAAGTTAGACAAATATTCTACAACACAAACAAATGTAACACATCTTTACATAGTTAAAGAATATATTCTATTTCACAACAAAGAATGACGGGGTAGAAACTGGAAGGACCCTGGATCACTGAGGCTGGCTCAGGTAACTGCCAATCTTGTATCATGTCTTTCAGAATTATTGCTAAGTGAGAAAAACAAACCCTCCATGTTGTAGGCCATCATCATCTTCAGTACGTCACAGTTCTGGTAGTTCCAGTTCTTCCCCAGGGCTAGCCTGGCTTTATACAGAACGGAGAGCTGATAATGAAGTCAGTTTACGAAAGAGTCATGAAACCAGTAGGAAGTTTTGATCTCATGCCCAGAATTTCTGAAGCTGAGGTTTGCGTTACACAGCCAGTGCTACCTTGTTCTGCTGAAGATTCCTAGAATTGGCTTCTTTCACTTGCAGATAAAATAATTCCTGGAAATGTTATAACTCGAGCACGTTCTGTATGCAGTAATTATTCCAAGGATATTAAAGCTTCTTTTAGTTCCCTGTCTTTGAGAGTAGTAGGGAAAAAAAACCCCATAGATTCTTGATCTTACATTTGAAAGTGCTGATTTGGGACTTCTGAATCACCTAGTGTTTTGACCTCTAGTTTTATTATTACTCACAGGCAAGCAGATTAGAAGATGGCTGAAGTCCTTTTCACAGAAATGAGCTGGTAAGAAAGGTAGATAATATATAAATTTATGTTGAAAGATAGATACTAAGAAATATCCCATAATCACCCTTTACCAAAATTTAATAAGAAAGAATGATGGAGTGTCAAAATTAGTCAGAAGAGATGAAAGTAACTTCATATTGACTAAGGGGATAATCTATTGAGAATATATTAAAAGTCTAGATGTATACTGTGGGAACTCCTTCAGCCAATAGCCTTTAAGATACCGGGTCACTTGGTCATGGTCTCTTACACTATAAATGCAGCTGTAAAGCATGTACTTCCTCTCTTGCTTCTGGCTCTCACTTCTGGCTGCTAGATTCGGTTTCTGTTCCTCATTCATGCAGAGGACTGTGGTCTAGGACAGTGATCTGTGATTCTCCTCTAAATAAATAACCCTTTATTATATATAATTCTGAACTAGTGTAGGATTATTTTATATCTTCCATCATCATGTCTATGTACCAATCATTGGTATATTCAATTTCATAAAACAAACACTACTGGGTATAAAGACACAGACTAACTTCAATACAGTAATTGTGGGTCACTTCAGTGCTCCACTCAAACCAATAAGTCATTCAAACAAAAACACCACAGTGTCAGAGTTAAAAGGCATTATAGATCAAGTGGACTGAATAGATTAGAGAACATTTGCACAAGCACTATAGAATACATATTGTTTTGTTATACCATGGACCTTTCTGTAAAATAGAATACACTTAAGGACACAAAGCTAGTCTTCCTGCGAGATAATTGAAATGATTTTATGATATATATCACACTGGAATAAAGTTAGAAATTAGCATCAAGAGAAACCTACAGAAAATTAAAAGTCATGGAGATGAAACAACACACCACAGAATGATAAACGGAGCATCAAAGAAATCAAGGTGGATACCAAAATAATTCTTATAATCCAACGAAAATGAAAATACAAGGTATTAGAATTTATGGGCTATAATGAAAGAGGTTCTAAAAGGTTCTATAGCTGTAAGAGTTTACATTAAAAGAAAAACTGAAGAAACTGGTTGTAGTGGTGCATTCCTTTACATCCGGCATTTGGGAGACAGAGACAGGTGGAACTCTGTGGGTTCAAAGCCAGCTTGGTCTACATTGTGAGTTCCAGGACTGCTAGAGCTACATTAAGAAAAAATCTTGCCTGAAAAACAAGCAGACAAACAAACCAAACCAAACCAAACAACAACACTAAAGAAAATATCAGATAAATAACTTAATGATGTACCTCTCAGGTTTCAGAAAAGCAAGAACAAACCAAACCCCAATTCTTTATGTAGAAAGAAATAATAAAATTCAAAATAACATATTAAAAACAAAAAGAACAATACAAATATAATCAATGGAACAAAGAGTTGCCTCTTTGAAAAGATAAATAAGATTAATAAGCCTCCTTATCAAACTACTCAGTAAAGGAGAGATGAGATCCATATTAATAGAATCAGAGATGAAAACGGAGTCCTTACAACAGATCCCAATGTAATGCAGAGGACCAGTAGGATATACTTTGAAAGATTCCGCTCTAAGGAATTAGAAAATCTTAAAGAAACAGATCAATTTACAGACATATATGACCTACCAAAATAAAATCTAGAGGATGTAAACAGCTTAAACAGGTCTAATATAAATAAAGAAATTAAAGTAATAATTCAAAGTTTCTCAAGGCCCAGACTCAGATTGATTCATTGCTGAATTCTACCAGATCATTCAGGAAGAGCCAACACTGACCAGCAGAGGTTCATTCTCTGCTCAGATTCACCAGTGTGCTTGGAACCTTGCCTAGAGACGTAAGACAAGAGAAAGATACAAAAGAGACAGAAGTAGGAAAGAAAGAAAAAAAAATGAAGTTATTCCTGGTTTTACATTGCTATACTCCTGTACCTAAGAGACCCGACATCCTTTTCCAGATGACTTTAAGAGCTAATAAATACTTTCGGGAAAGGAGAAGGACACAGAATCCACATACAAACGCCACTAGCATTCCTACATATCAACAATGAAGATGCTGAGAAAAGGAGCCATGAAAATAATCCCATTTACAATAGCATCAAAATAATGCCTATGAACACACCCCAATAAATGATCTCTATAATAAAACATTGTGAATACCGAGAAAAGCAGCTGCAGAAGACACTAAAAGATGGAAAGACTGTCTATGCTCATGGATCAGTAGAATTAATATAGGAAAATGACTATTGCTGAAAGTGACCTCTGGATTCAGATCCAATGATATTTTCACATAACTAGAAAAAAACCCTAACTTTTATATAGGAACATAAAACTACCAGATAGCTAAAGCTTTCTTAAACACAGTGAACAACGTTGGAGGTATCATAATATCTAACTTCAAGTTATACTGGACAACTATAGCAATGCTGTGATACTGCCAGCAAAGTAGATACATACAATAATGGAATAATGTGGAGGACCCAGATTTAAATCCACACAACTACAATCATCTGAATTTTGATAAAAATTTAAAAATATATTCATCAGAGGATGGGGAAGGGAGCCTCTTTAACAATTTGTACTGGGAAGACTGGGTACTCCTACGAAGGGGAACAAAGATTGGGCCACATCTTTCAACCTATACCAAAAGCTCGAAAAAGATCAAAGACATTAATGTAGGATCAGAAGCTGTTAGAGTGAGAAGTTGGAAAAACTTCAAGAGATAGGCAGAGGGAAGGAAGGACTTCATGACCAAGACTGCCCTGTTCGGGCAGGAAAGTCAGCAACCATGCCCTGGAAAGGCTTCTTGAGCAAAGGAAATAGTTATCCTGGTGAAGAAGTGGCCTGAAAGTTGGGAGTAAAGCTTTGCTAGGCATGGAGAGTAATATCTAGACTAATCTAGACTATATAATGAGCCCCCAAACTAAATACCCCAAACTCCAAAGGTAAAATCAATAAATGGGCTAGTGAATAGATGATCTAATGGCTCTCAAAAGATGGAGGAGAAGAGATCAACACACTTGAAGAAAAGGTCCAACATCCTTGGTCACCAAAAATGCAAATTAAAACTACACTGAGATTCTTTTTCATCCCGGTCCGAATGGCTGTTTATTTTCACTAAGAAAACAACAGCAAATGCTGGACAAAGAGAACTCTTCTACTCTGCTGGTGGGAATGCAAATTGGCACAACTACTGTGGAAATCAATATGAAGGGTACTCAGAAGACGAAGATAGAGCTGCCAGATGAGCCCTGTGGGCATTTACCTAAGGGACTTTTGAAGTCAGCCCATCCACACTTACTGCAGCATTAGTCAGAAGTGTCAGGTTAGAGAAACAGTCTACATATCTGCCAGTAGATGAACTCCCAAAGAAAATCAGTTACCTGCATATGCGGTAGACTTTTGTTTATCCTTAAGTAAGAATGAAATTATGTTGTTCGCCAGGAAATAAATGTAATTGAAAACTATCATATTGGGCAAATAATGCAGACTTGGAAAGATAGATGCCTCACTTTACCTCATTTATGGATACTAGATGTTATATAACCACACACACACACACACACACACACACACACACACACACACCCCAACAGCAGCAGCTGCAGCAAAGCACAAGGAAGACTTGACAAAGGAAAGGAACTGTCAGAATGGTGGAGTCTATGGAAGGAGGCATGGGAAAACGTATGCTTGTGTCTAGTGAGGACAGCGGTAAACAGTAGTAGGTTGTGCCTTGTTTTATACCCAAAGTTTGAAAAGCACTGGACATAAACTTTAACTAAAGAAGATCTCTTTGTTGGATACCGAACTTAGTCATTTTCATTTTCCAGTGGGTTTCTCTGAACATTTGGACTCATGTGAACATAGCTGTTGGGTGTGTTACTGACTTGATGTCTTAGCTTTTTTATTGTTGTTGTTGTTGTTGTTGTTGTTCTAGGAGATGGTTGTCAGCCTCTTGGTTCGGTGTCTTTTTGCACAGAAGGTAGAACATCAGAAGGCTGATTTGTTCTGCTTTGAGGAGAAAATATAAGTGAAATTATTTCCAGCCATTCAAGTGAGAGCAAACAGGAAACATTTCCCAGTAGCCCAGGGTGGGGACTGGGAGTAAAATCTTACCCCACTTTCCCAACAAAACTAGAATCAGTTTGGACTCACCTGAAAAATGACTGTGATCCTGGACACAATCCTTTCCCTCCTCCTCAACTCAAGACCTGGACCTTTTTGCAAACATCCAGGGACACAGATCACTAAAATGTCCTCTTGGTAATCCTCTTAGCCCATCTCAGTGCTTAATAACCCTTATATAAGCTTGCTTCCCTCCAGAGCAAACTTAAATCATTCATCTGCAGGCTAATTCCATTTCCTCGGTTTTCTCTTGTGAGGAGAAAGAACAGCTGTTCCTCTTCTTCCCAGAGACGAATAGGGCACACCTGAGTGGGGGCATGGGCACACATCCAGCCACCCTCAGAGTCTCGCCGTGCTGGCAAGACAGCACACATGTGTTAGCATGGCTCAAGGGGTCTCTGCCCGGAGGGAGCAACAGCCTCTGGGAACTTGCAAGAAATGCAGGTTCTAAACCCCAGCCCAGACCGATTGCATCAGAAATTTCATAAGTAAGTTTGGCAATTGGTGGTTTAGCAAACATTCCAGATGATTTTCATGTCCCCGGAGGTTTCAGGACTATTGTGCGGTAGATCTCTGCATCAGTAATGGGAGAGCATTATCAATACTCTATTTTTATATTTATGTTTGTATGGATTGCATATATTTATGCGTTGATTCTTGTGGTTTTTGTTTAGGGGGGGGGTTGACTGTTGTATTCAGATTTCTATGTAATTGAGATCTAATTGACATTTACAAAGGTATCTTCTATCCAGACAAAGCATTTAGAATTGACAATATGGCTTGTATTCAAGTAATACAAATAAAAGATAGGTGGAGGAACAGAATAATGAGAAAGACAATTTCTCTAAATTGATGACACGACTTTATTTTTGTGTGCTTTCTCTTGGACTTCCATTTCTTATGTAAAATGAATAGATTTATTCTTTCAGATGGAAACATGAAAGAATAAATATATATGTCTGGTCCTGTAATTACACTTTGTACTGAAGAGCCCATGAATGGAAACACTCAAAAATACACACAAAGGATAGGTTTTCACAGCTGGATCATTGATTGCCTACTAATCAGGCCTGGGGGTTATTTCTAATTATTCTTTCTTTTCTCAGGTTTTAAAAACTGTTTCCGAAGAGTGCAGTCCCATCATACTTTGCAAAAAGTGATGGAGTAGATGTCCCTGTGCTCAGTCTCTGTATGACTGAGAACGGACTCGGTACTGTACAGAAGCTTTAGATTGGAAGTTGTGTTAGCTGGGCTTCCATGTTTTCCCAGAATCCCCTGTGTTAGGGACCTGTATCTCAGGCATTAAGTTTGTTTATATGTAAACATGATCGGAGAAACTTTTGTTGAAAGTATATTCACAACTGGAACAGCTCTATCATTCTTACTATGCATTTTACAAACTTAACTGGTTCATCTATACTTAAGTTGATTCGCTGGTACATTTCCCTTGGTTGGCTGTGTCTGCAGACATCATTTTAGAAGCATTTTTTTGGATTAAATCTTAGTTATATTTGTGAGATATGACAGAGTGAACAGGAAAACTGAATTTGAGTCTTCGACCTCAAGATCATGTACTAGAGAAGGTCTCGAAGATCTTTGGTTGTGGTATGGCTTGTGTCGAAGACTTATGACCGAGAAAGGTTTTGAGTCTCTGCTAAACATTCAGAATTACCGTGCTGCGCAATGACCGAGCTCAAGACACTTGCAGCATTCCACTTCAAGGCTTATCTGTCGTAGAAACGCTCATGATACCCGGTCAAGAAGGCGTTAAGTTTCCATCACTTCCACAGGATCAAAAATGTAAAACTTTGCCACTGATATTTCATGTGTCCAGTGTCAGATGGTGCTGTACACATTCCACCTAATCTAATATTCCCTTCGTTTACTTCTGAGCATTGTTCTCAGTTTGCAGGGGAAATGGAATCACTGAAGGGCAATGATTTCTCCAGAATCACACCGCAACCAGAACTTGAATTTAAACATAGAGAACTTGACTATGTGCCATGCGCTTTCTGTTGTACCATGAAACCTTTCGGGACTGGTGCTTCCTTAGGTTATCCAAGGCCATTGCCTCAGGTCTTGACTTGAGGTGACCAGGTTTGTGTGTGAGAATTTATGGTTTAGGAGCTGCAGTAGCTGCCCAGACTCCCCTCCTTCTGCTGACATTTAGACAACAGTGAGAAAGAAGCCTCACCTTTCAAAGAATAACCATTTCTGAGTTGAGAGAGGCCTTCTCTACTGTGTAGAAAAGGTAATTTTGTAAGAATTATGACTTTACTGAGGAAAAAAATGGAGTGTTTTGGTCTGTAATCCAGTTGCTTTTTAAAAATAGAAATTAACAGTCTTAAAGATGGCCAGAAATGGCTCAGACATTAAGAAAAGAGCTGCTCTCTCAGAGGACTTGGGCTGGGTTGCCAGTGCCACATAGAGGCTCACAAAGTCTGTAACTCAAGTTCCAGGACCCCTGACACCCTCTTCTGGCCTCCATGAACATGGGTGTCTGTGGTACATAGACACACATGCAGGCAATCACCAATACACATTAACAACAAAGTCTTAGAGAGATGGGTGCCGCGGCAGGCTTTCGCTGGAACTAGGGTGCTCATGTATAGTCCTTTCTTCTCTCTTTGCTCTTTTCTTTAACCCAGAGTGTAGAAAGCAGAAAAGAAAAATGAAAAAGAAAATAGAGAAGAAACATGGGGAAAGTGATACTACTGAGTGTAACACAGGGGACTTTTCCAGGCACCAGGAGAGGGGGGCGTTTGAATTTGTTTCTTACAGCCTCTTTGATGCTTTATTAACTCTTTCTGAAAGAGTTAATACACACGTATTACTGCGTTTTTTGACTTCTAGGGGCCAGTACGACCTTGAGAAATGGTGGACATTTTTGGAAGGGGAGGCCAAACTGGAGCATGAACGGTGGTATGCCTGCAGGGGTTCTACTTGGTTCTCAAACCCCTCTCCTCACTCCCTGCTTCCTGCCGGCAATGGGATGAAGAGTCCCCATCACATATGCAGGGTAGCTATGATGTTCTCCCCAAGCACACAGGGCTACAGGACCACTGGCCCAGAAGCTAGAAGCTAGGATAAGTTTTTTTTTTCCTTTAAGTTGCTTTCTCCAGTATTTGGTCATAGCTAGGTCAGGTTGACTAATACGGTTCTCCTGTGTTAGGTAAAGGGACATGAGAAAGATGAAACCAACCATTGAGGTCCGTCTTTGACTTTGCTATTCAACTGAATAAGAATTTTTATGATAAAGATGTAGAATTTTCTGACTCTATTCTGATTCATCTTGTTCTACATGATGAAATAGGGAAATAGGAACATAAAAATAAAACCACCATAGCTCACCCCCATATCTGAACTTAATGGGGTAATGGCCTCAAATATCCCCTCAAAGGAGGGGATCTAATTCAATTTTCAACTAAAATTGGCCAAGAAATTTTACAAATTATGGACTGGAATCTTAAGGATGCTTTCAGTGGAGAAAGAGGGTAATGTTTTATGTAACTCCTTCAGCATAGTCCACATTTTTCAAAAAGAAGCAGCAAATATTTAAGTTGTCTAACACTATTTAATGGAAAGAGCACACATAGTTAGCTGTACAGTTTTGATCTTTAGTACGTACAAAGCATGTGCAAACACTGAGAAATATTTTTCAGTGGCATATTCTTTCACCATACATTAGCCAATTTCCTTTCATAGTTATGACACATGAAGTTAGTTTGCTTGCTCCTCTTTGCTTGGAAAAATAGTCTAAAGTTTTTTACTAAATTGTCATATTTTTTTCTGGATTTTAATTTGGAGATTACAAATGTTACAAATAATAAATAATATATATTCCTAAAAACTATGACATGAGGCAGGTATAGTGGTGCATGCCTTTAGTCCTAGCACTCAGAAGGCAGAGGCAGGCAGATCTCTGTGAGTTCAAGGCCAGCCTGGTCTACAGAGATAGTTCCAGGATAACCAGGGCGACACAGAGAAACCCTGTCTTGAAAAACCAAAACCAAACCAAACAAACAAAATACAAAAGCAAACTTATTATATATATAGTATTTGTATATGGATGACCTCAAGGACATTTGAACATAGCCAGCAAATCGTCTCTTTGGTCTTTTTATTTTCTTTTCAATCTTTAAATGAAGTTGCTATAGGATAAAAATATCTAGAGCCAGCCAGGCATGTCTTGGCCCAACTTCTCTAAATTTCCAAATTGCTAATAACCTCCTGTGGAATCGTGCCCTGGAAGTGTCAGGCTGAGGAGGAATGGGTGATCAGGCATGGGGAAGGTGGGGTGGGTGGCGCGGAGAGCAGGGTGTTCCACCATACTGCTGGGGTTTCCAGATTAAGATGGGGGATTAAGGAATTTTACTCAGCAATTTGAGATGCTTTGTTAGGACTGAGGAGATTTGAGCCGCTTTGTTCTCAAACCACATGTTAGTGAAAAAGCAAACAGGCACTTAATCCTGACAGACAGCAGAACTTGACATCGATTTGCCCCTTGGGAGGTGACCAGGAGTTCTCTATGACGGTTAAAATGGCCAGCCCTTGTTTTTGTGGAGCCCGATGCCTTCATTCTATCCCAGCCTATATTTCTTAGCAGTGTGGTCATAACTAAGCAGAGCAAACCAAGAGTTTCTAGGTATTGGAGACTCTAGCATTCTTTCTAAAACCCAAAATAAGCCTCTTAAATGCACATAGCAGATAAGATATCAATATTTAAATAGGTTTTAAACAGGTCTAATATTTGGGTCATGCCATCCTGAAAGGAAATGTAGAAAAACGGAGATTTTTCTGTTTCTTTCTGTCTTTTGAAAATAATGGATAGTTTCCCCTAACAATAAAACCACAGGCAACAGATCAAGTTGGAGCCACACATGGCTGCGAAATGAAAATCAATGGCCATGCGGAGTTTTGAGGGAGGTCCTACAAGTAACGAGTTAGACTTTGAGACCATGCTGTTCAGAGTCACTGGAGTGGTACGAAAGTAAACAGTGTGAATAGAAAAGAAACTGCTGGCTCCTTGGGTTGTGTTTCATATGTCAGTAAACATTAGGTGTAGAGAGCCCTAAGGTCTGGCCCAGAAACCCGGAGGGTGCGAGTCTTTCCATCTCGAGTTTGACTCAGTCTTACTTAATCCACTGACCAAAAGGGTTGTTTTAGTAACTTATTGAGTGAGTACACATTGGTGTGTGCAGGAAAGTCATTTTAAAAAAACAGAATTGAGTTAGCTAATTTGTAAGGCATATTTAAAACAACCCATATTTTTTCTAGTTGAACATTAATCTAATCCATGGCACTTATGTTTTGTAAAAATCTGCTACGTATTCGTATTGTGAAAAATTAGGAAGTTTTGTCCCCAGAGTTAGGTTGCTATACTCCTTAAATACAACTG